TTGGGTTCTCCTGGGGGGTGTATGGCGCTGTAAACTGTTGTCGTATTCCCATTTCTTGGAGGTAGCGTTACCACAGCGTGCTGGTGAACTGAACGCCGTTGTCCGAGATGAGTATCTTCGGAACACCAAATCTCGCTAGAATTCGTTCCCTGAACGCACAACGGAGTCCTTCTGCCATGACGTGTCTCATTGGGACTAGCTCCACCCATTTGCTGAAGCGGTCGAAGAATACCAATTGAATGGTGTTGCCATGTGGAAAACGCGGTAGGGGTCCGACGAAGTCTGTGCAGACCGTCGCGAAGGGCTCCGAAGCCACCTGTGAAAGCATTTTTCCCGCGGGTTTCTGTTGTCCTTCCTTGTACCTGAACATACCTGGCCAATAGTATCGGTTGGCGATCCGTGCCACTGTCCGTCGGATGCCCATGTGGCCGGCGCTGGGTACATCGTGGTTCTCCTGTAGTACTCGCTGGCGAAGGGGGGTTGGTACACATAACTTCCAGGGCACTGTTTTCTCATCCTGGCTTCGGCATGGGATATGGCGGTAGAGTAATCCGTCCTGCACCACATAGTCAGCGTATTTCTCCGGGTTTGCGCGCACTTCGCCCACGCGCTTATGCCACCACTTGCATTGTGGTTCCGTCGTTATCGCTTGCCGAAGGGTCTCCAGTGGTTGCCGTGATAGTGCGTCCGCGACTAGGTTGAGCTTCCCTTTTCGATATTCTATATCGAATGTATGCTGTTGTAGTTCTAGGGCCCACCTCGCTATATGGCCGGAAGGGCTCTCGATAGAGTTCAGCCACTTCAACGACATGTGGTCGGTGATCACCTTGAACCTGTATCCCTCTAGGTAGGGCCTCATCTTCCGGATTCTCCAAACAATGGCAAGACACTCCTTCTCTGTGGGCGAGTAGTTGACCTCCGCTTTGCTCAATTTCCTGCTGGCACAAGATATTACGCGTTCGCCTCCTTCTAATTCTTGTGTCAATACCGCTCCCAAGCCAAAGTTACTAGCGTCCGTCTGTAGGGTAAATTTCTCGTTAAAATCCGGACAGGCGAGTACGGGGGCCTCGGTGAGTTTCCGCTTGAGGGTGTCGAATGCCTCTTGTTGCTCGACTCCCCACTTCCAATGCTTACCCTTTTTCAGGAGTGCAGTTAGTGGTTGGCTTAACGTGGCGAAATCGGGCACGAAGCGACGGAACCACGATGCTATCCCGAGGTATTGGCGTACTTCCTTCACGTTAGACGGTGGTTTTAATTATCGGATCGCGGCCACCTTCTCGGGATCGATGTGGATTCCCTTTTCACTTACCACATGACCCAAGTATCGGGGTTCCATCTTGAAGAAGTCGCACTTCTCGGGGCTGATGCGGAGATTCGCGCGTTGTAGTCGTGATAGTACTTCTCGTAGGTTTTGTACGTTCTCCTCGAAGGTGGAGCCTATGACGATTATGTCGTCTAGGTAGGCGAGAGCGTGGGGTTCCATTTCCGGGCCGATGACTTGGTCGAGTGCTCTCTAAAATGTTGCTGGCGCGGAGTGCAGGGCGAACGGCATGACATGCCATTGAAATAGTCAGCGTCCCGGCACGGTGAAGGCGGTGTACGGGCGACTGTTCGGTTTCAGGGGTATCTGCCGGTAGCCGTTTTTGAGTTCTAGGCTGCTGATATACGTAGCCCTACGTAACTTGTCCAGTATCTGTTGTAGGGTTAAATATGACGCATAGGGTTATGCGTCGGGTACTGATCGGGCATTTAGTTGCCGATAATCCACACACAACATCCTCTTACCGTTTTTCTTCCGAGCCAACACGATGGGCGCGCTATGTGGGCTACAAGAGGGTTCGATGCCCCCCTTGGAGAGGAGCTCGTCTGCATTGCACGGAGAGTACCATTGCTTGATGGGGCGGTCGTCGGTCATGACGATCCTGTGTTCCGCGACGTTGGCCACTCCGCTCATGGTTTCAAACTTCTGTAGCTCTTCCGCTAGGAAGTTGCGTATTCGTGTTGCCTCGTTTGTATGGTTACTGTGTGGAATCTCCGCGGAGGCGCACTCATCGACGCTTCCACTGGTTTCGTCATGGTCGACTCTTTCACCCTCTCGCTCCTGGATCTGCCTTTCCTTCGGTGCTTTCTCTTGGCCGACCTCTGCGGGATGGTATTACTTACGGTGGGCGAGGTGCTATCCTCCGTGGTTTGTGAGGTAACGGGCGGTGCCGGCTGTGTAGTCGGTTCGGTGAGTACGACGTGGTGACCACCGCAGGATACTGCAGCTCCCATGCTTCCCAACGTGTCCAGGCCGAGTATGAGGTCGTCTATTGCGCCTGGCATCATGTATAGCAATGCGTGGTGCATCGCTTGTCCGAGAAGAACCTCGATCTTGATGGCCTCGAAAACCTTGCTACTGGTACCGTCGGCCATGTGTATCTCGAGGGCTACCGTTATTCTTTCTCTGCTTCCTACGATTGCCATATATTCCGCTAGGGTGGTGGATATGAAATTCTTCGAGGCGCCGGTGTCGATGACGGCCTCGACTAGCTCCCTACCCAAGTAGACCAGGGCGTACAATCGACCGTGATCCTGAGGCATGGCTATGGGCGTCTCGGCGCTGGGTTCGGTGGGTTCGCCGCGCTATGTTCTTGGTGGAGCCCTCCGCCGTTTCCCTGACGCCGGCGACAGCATTCGATCGTGCGGACATTGGCTCGACCGCACTCCCAACAGAATAACTCCGTGCGTTGCGGCATCGCCTGGCATAATGTCCTTCCTGCCCACATCTCTTGCATACGTTGTTGGGGTCGAAGCTCTGGTTCCTGGATAGGCCATGACGCTGTGTGTCCGTCGCTGAGTGGTATGGTGTAACTGGCGGATGGTGTTGTGTCGTCCGCCCTAGTGGGGTGCAATGAGATGATTCGCCTGGTTGCGTGGTGGTCCTCATCGGGTTGTCGCCGGTGACATGCCTTGCCAACTCTCGTCGTGATGTTTCCACCGTCCGTCTGTGGATACCCTTGTACTCTTCCGTGAGTGTGAGTAGTACTGATAACGTGGTGAAAACCCCCCGCCGAATGCATAACAAGTAGTCGGGGTAGCTGTTGCGGAAAATTCTTTCCAATCGCTGCTCGCTTCTATAGCCGGCTTGTCGCATCAGGTTTTGTATTGCGATGACATAATCCTTATATTTCTCCCTTGCATGCTGCCTTCTCTGCAGTATGTCGTCCTCGAGGCATTCGAAATACCGGGCTGGCAGAAACAAACGTAGGAATTCGCGCTTGAAGGTTATCCAACTCCTCCAGTGTTCATTGTTGTTGCGATAACAGTGAAGAGCGGTACCGCACAGTAGCTCGGGCATGGTTTTTGGGTGGAAATCTACGTTCAAGGCATACACCTCGGCCAGCTCCTCCAATCGCTCTACAAAAGTTAGCGGGTCTCGTCCGCCGTCATATTTTACTGACCACTTCCTTACCTGGTCGATGATAGGTGCACACGTGTGGGTTGGTGCTTAGTTTTCAGGGTCTGCTGTACCTGCGTTCGGCCCGGCGGTTGTTGTCGGCGGGTGTTGGTGAATTGGTGGCTGATGTGATGGCAGCTGGTGCTGGGGTAGCGGTACCGCCAACTGGCTCTGTGTCGTGTTTTCAATAGGAGTATAGTACTCCCCGTACGTACATCCGGTGGTACTGGCGTCTTCTGCTCATCCTCGTCTTCCGAAGCAGCTTCGCTGTCTCTGTTGGTGATTTCCATTGCCTGGAATTTGGCGTGGATTTCCGGATCGGAGTGCGCCTTGGCCGCCAGTGCCGTTATACGCTTGCGTATTTCTCGGGCGGTGACCGCGAATTCGATCCCCAATTCCTGTTCAATCGACACCAATTGCTCTTTGGGTATATCATCCAGCCACGCGGTGTTGACTAGCTCCGCCATTTTATTCGCCTTGTTTGTTCCAAAAATTTTTTATTTGCACGTGTACGATTTGCCAAGGGTCCCTGCTCGGGCGCCAATTGTAATTAAGCGTTTTTGTTGCCCCGATGCTTCTTCTACAATGCTGGGGTATACTGGCCGTGTCCAGGGTTCGTTACAATAAATTTGTAGTTTCGGGGCTCTGATGAATCGTACTTTATTATTTAAATTTCCTTAATTTCTCTAAAAGAACATATAACAAATAACAATTGAAAACATTCGGTAGCGTCACTTGCAGTGGCTGGGTAACGGCTCCTTGTTCCGTTATGAGCCCGTTAGGCTGTAGTGGCGTGGCTTTAGTACTGGTGGGCAGCGCTCTGCTGGCGGCGCTGCTAACGTCTATAAGTGGTGTTCTGGCCGCGTCGGTATGTAGAGCTCTTGCAATATGAGTTGCGCTCTGGTCGTGCCGGTGAGTGGCGCTCTAAAAACGTCAGTGAGTAGCGCTCGGGTGACGCCGGTATGTGGCGCTCGTGAAATATCCGAGAGTAGCGCCGTGATGTCGTTGGCAAGTGGTGCTTTGGCCGCGTCGATATGTAGCACTGTAATCGCGCCACTGAGTGGCGCTCTGGTAACGGCGCTTCTTGTTGGCGCTGTTGATGTCGCTCTGCTGACGGCGGGTGTCGTCCGTACGCGGCTTCACGGTAGGCTATGGCAAGCGTTGGTCAAGCCTTTACCTGCGGTCTTAAGTTCGGGGAAGGAAATATAAATCGTCTACTCCCCTCGCTTAAGATACGCTGTCACGGCCCTCTACTTCCGAAGAGGCGATATCCTGTATATCGTCCCACAAGGTACCTCCGCTCGGTCGTAGTGGTCGTCGCGACCACAACTCCGTGCTGACTGACCATTTTTTGGCTGTGTTGTATCTTTAATAGGCTATGTGCTTGATGTTGCGTGGTCGCTCAGCTACGTTTTGATGTGTGATGTTGCGTTGTTATGGCAACGAAGGCTGTCGGGTGTTGCTGTGACTTGTTGCGTAGCTAGCTGCTTGGGATTGTGTTGCTGTGGTTTGTTGTGTGGCTCGTTGCTTTGATGGCGGTTATTTGTGTGGATCAAATTCCTCAGGGATATTTGGTCCTAACACTTATTTCATCTCTTGAGTTCCTAGAAATATTTGCTGTACTACTGTCCGCTTCCACCATATTCACAGTTTCTAATAAATGTACATCTTCTGTGGGAAGAACTTCTGAAGGTTGCGGCTCAGCTTTAAATTTCAGACAAATGTTGTGCAAAGCGCAGCAAACATTCATTATAGCTGAAACCTTTTGCGGAGTATAATGCAGCTCCCGTGCTGCCAAAAGACATCGAAACCTTCCTTTCAATATTCCAAATACTCGTTCGATGATTGACCGTCCTTTGGCATGGCAATGATTGAACCGGCCTTCCGCTGAATTTTCGGTGGCATTACGATAGGGAGCTAACATCCATGGTTCCAATGGATATCCTGAATCACCTTAAATAATTTGAATGCAATTATTAATATATTATCGATATTAAAGTACTAATTGATGCTAACCAAGACTCCATATCCCTCTCTCGCCATTATCAAAACAAGCTTTTAAAGCCCTTCTCTCACTGGACAGGTTCCATACATGGGAATCGTGGCATGCACCACCGTATCGCGCGTCAACAGCTCTAATTCTCATCTTGTGGTCACACATCTAAGAATTTTAATTTGAAAAATTATTGTTGAAAACCTTCATGATAATGCAATACTTACAACCATTGCATTCGTACTGTGCCCCAGTTTTCTATTGTAGTACAAATGCTCGTTCCTTGTTGATCTTATCATTTGTATATGTGTGCCATCTATTGCAAACAACACACCCGGAATGCCACACTTTTCATAGAAATATAATTTCGCCTCTGTTTCCTCTGCGTCCGTACTTGCAAAATTAATGTGTTGTTGGCAAAGCGTTTTCTCAATGGCTTTGCACACTTCAATGAGGCAGCGTGACATTGACTGCTGCTTGGCCAATTTGGTGTTGGTAACCTCTTTGCCCCAATAATTTCAGTGCGGCGGCCAGCTTAATAATGGGCGGAATTGTTGTGGATTTTCGGGGAGTGCTTAACTCCGGCGTAATGGCATTTAGTACGTACTGAAACGCCTGTTTGTTTAGACGGAAATTTTGCGCGAAACTGTAAACGGATACTTATAAATACATAAACCGCCCAATTCTGTGTTTTCTTGATAAATTTTTTGTAAAGAAATTTCATCAAGACTTTTATCAAGTAAAAGCTTCCTTCGCATTCTGTGCCAATATTTATAAAACAAAAAGCTCTACGATTTCCACATGAGTTGAACTGATTTCCACATTAGTGGAACTGATTTCATGAGTAGGTAAAGATGTCGACTATAATTCCGTGTGTCACAGGTCCAAATGCCGGCACATGTAGTATTTAATTGTTAGAAACAAATTTATTAATATACAAAATTTATACATTTCACATGAAATTTCAATTTGTCAATAGCATTTTCAACCTTGATAATTTATCAAGAAAAGATCTTTTGATTTCTGTGCTAGAATGCCAATTCTTGATAAATAATAAAAAATTGTCAAATTATAAAGATTTTCAATTTATGATCTGCACAAAATCGATCTGAAAGTATAAATAGTCACAAATAAAGCAATCCTCTTACCATTTATCATTGAGAGTGAATATGTTGGCCTTATCCCTAAGCGCTCTCAATTGCACTCGTTCCTCCACTTGGCCTTCATCTGATTCCAACCATATCGCCACTAAATCCATTTGATAATTTTTTTTTTATCAAGGACTTTCACTAATGTTAAATATATTTAACACAACAATTACTGAGTTCTTAAGTGCGCAAACTTCACAATCGAAATGTTAGCAAATTCATCTTGTTTTGATTTTAGTTTCTTTCTTTATTTTGCTTTGCGTTTGACAAACAACCTTTCGACTCGAACTACAGAGTAAGGGCCAAAGTTCTTCCTCGTATTTTATGTCAAACTCATACTAATTCATGATGTCGCTGCCACGTTCAAAAAAATCATGTCGTCATCTACAAAGCGTTTAGATAATGAAGATGACAAATTGGTAGCTGTGGCCCGTAGCTCGTCGTTTTCACAACTATTTTCATTATCCCAATCACGAAAACTAATTTGTTCAAATTTTTCAATAGAAGATTGCTGTATTGTACCCAGGGTTGGCAATGTTTAAAACTTTTGTTTGAAACAAATGTTTAAAACCTTGTTGAAAACAATGGAAAAAATCACCTATATTTAAAACACGTTTTAAATCATTTTGCTTTAAGCTAGTTTGAAACATATAAAAACCATCAATCATATAATTAATAGTTTTCGTACTTTTCAAAAGTTTTATTTGTAATATAATGCCCCTTGTCGTCCGAATTTTTTTCATCCGCCCGTAGTGAATACACGGAAACGAAAGTGAACCGGTTCGGAGAAAATTAAACTCGTATTGGGTATTCACAATGGTGTCGTGAGTGTCGAATTGTTGTATGTCGGAAACTTTAAATGCCTAAAAATATATTAAGGGGGTTCGCAAAGTACCATCAAAGTCATATTATGCATTTTCGGAGTGCTAAGAAATAGTTGGTTGTGGTCAGGCCCGACGACATTTTGCCCCGGGCCCGGAGTTCTCAAGGGGGCCCGAGCTCAGACTCCAGAGTATATTTCATAAGATGTTGATAAATCGCAAATCACAAAACAAGTGAAACATTGTTTAATTTCGTGCAATTTATAAGTTCAGTTGAACTCATTGAAATCATCCACTTTTTTAAGCCTTCCTTTCTAGGGGCACAAAAATGTGAGAAAGGATTCAAATTTTTTTTTTAATAATAGAGTTGGTATGCCTGGTGGGCAGGCAGCATTCGAAAAATATACAGGCAGTTATTTGTGAGCTTTGATACATACAGGGTGTCCCAGAAGTAACGTGCCAAACTTTAGGGGAAGGTAGGTGGGGGGGGTGAGCTCCCTGATAAACAAAAAATTTTCAGGTAAAAGTGTCACCGTTTTTGAAATATTTACATTTTTTCGAATTTAAAAAAAATCGTGCCTTTTCATGTGTTTTCTTTAACTGCAACTACAAACCGGGCAATACTTAGTAAATTTTTTATGTAAAATACTTCCAGATAGTTGCCTCTCCATACTCAAATGCAATGTAGTTAAAATATATTAAGGAACCATCATAAAATTAGGACTATTTCTGGATTTTTAACTTTT